AAAGATGTGGAAGAGAGGGATAAATGGATGTATAAAGAACAGAGGAAGAAAGGACAGATTTGGGAAATTTAAAGATGGGGAAGAGAGGGATAAATGGATGTATAAAGAATAGAGGAAGAAAGGGCAGATTTGGGGAATTTAAAGATGGGAAGTGAGGGATAAATGGATGTATAAAGAACAGAGGAAGAAAGGACAGATTTGGGAAATTTAAAGATGTGGAAGAGAAGGATAAACATGTATAAAGAACAGAGGGAAGAAAGGACAGATTTGGGGAATTTAAAGATGGGGAAGAGAGGGATAAATGGGTGTATAAAGAACAAAGGAAGAAAGGACAGATTTTGGGGAATTTAAAGATGGGGAAGAGAGGATAAACAGATGTATAAGAACAGAGGAAGAAAGGACAGATTTGGGGAATTTAAAGATGGGGAAGAGAGGGATAAATGGATTATAAAGAACAAAGGAAGAAAGGACAGATTTGGGAAATTTAAAGATGGGGAAGAGAGGGATAAACAGATGTATAAAGAACAGAGGAAGAAAGGACAGATTTGGGGAATTTAAGATTGGAAGAGAGGGATAAATGGATGTATAAAGAACAGAGGAAAAAGGACAGATTTGGGAGTTTAAAGATGTGGAAGAGAGAGAGGGATAAACAGATGTATAAATAACAGAGGAAGAAAGGGCAGATTTGGGAAAATTTAAAGATAGGGGAAGAGAGGGATAAATGGATATATAAAAGAACAGAGGAAGAAGGACAGATTTGGGAAAATTAAAGATGGGGAAGAGAGGGATAAACAGATGTATAAAGAACAGAGAAGAAAGGGCAGATTTGGAATTTTAAAGATAGGGAAGAGAGAGATAAATGGATATATAAAGAACAGAGGAAGAAAGGACAGATTTGGGAATTTAAAGATGGAGAAGAGAGGGATAAATATATGTATAAAGAACAGAGGAAAGGGGCAGATTTGGGAAATTTAAAGATGGGGAAGCGGGATAATGGATGTTAAAGAACAAATTAAAGATGTGGAAGAGAGGGATAAACAGGTGTATAAAGAACAAAGGAAGAAAGGAACAGATTTGGGGAATTTAAAGATGGGGAAGAGAGGGATAAATGGATGTTAAAGAACAAATTTAAAGATGTGGAAGAGAGGGATAAACAGGTGTATAAAGAACAAGGAAGAAAGGACAGATTTGGGAATTTAAAGATGGGGAAGAGAGGGATAAATGGATGTATAAAGAACAGAGGAAAAAGGACAGATTTGGGAAATTTAATGATGTGAAGAGAGGGATAAACAGATGTATAAAAGAACAGAGAAGAAAGGGCAGATTTGGGAAATTTAAAGATGTGGGAAGAGAGGGATAAGGGATATAAAAGAACAGAGGAAGAAAGGACAGATTTGGGAAAATTAAAGATGGGAAGAGAGGGATAAATGGATGTATAAAGAACAGAGAAGAAAGGGCAGATTTGGGAAATTTAAAAGATGGGGAAGAGAGGATAAAATGGATGTATAAAGAACAGAGGAAAAGGGGAGATTTGGGAATTTAAAGATGGGGAAGAGAGGGATAAATGGATGTATAAAGAACAGAGGAAGAAAGGACAGATTTGGGAAATTTAAAGATGGGGAAGAGAGGGATAAATGGATGTATAAAACAGTTTAAATTTAAAGATGTGGAAGAGAGAGAGGGATAAACAGATGTATAAAGAACAGAGGAAGAAAGGACAGATTTGGGGAATTTAAAGATTGGGAAGAGAGGGATAAACAGATGTATAAAGAACAGAGGAAGAAAGGACAGATTTGGGAAATTTAAAGATGTGGAAGAGAGGGATAAATAGATGTATAAAGGAAAGTATATACAACGATAATGTATTGTTATTCTCTCTCTCTGCGGAATAAATATATATGGTGTTTATATTGACATATTTGTCTGTATCTAGCCTTCAGTCGATTTATATTATTTATTTGAATAAAGGTATTTCTCCGTCAACGTCAATATAGTCATATATATCTGTGAATCTATTTGCTATAACCATCTTCTAAGTCGCTCTTCATTTTTGTCTGTCTGTTTCTCTTTCACTTAATTCTTGTCTGCCTGTCTGTCTATCACTCCTTTTTTTCAGCCTATCTGTCTATCATTTCATTTCTGTCTGTCTATCACCATTTTTTCTGCCTATCTGTCTGTCACTTCCTTTCTGTCTGTCTATCACT